ATATTTCACTCAGCATAATGTTCTCCAGAGTCAACCATTTTGAATAATATTGCATGAGTTCCTTGTTTTTCAATGCAGCATAGTATTCCATTGTCTTCACCCCCTTCTTAAACCCACTACATTGTGCAATCCTGTGGTCTCGTCCCTGCTCCTCCCAAGCCTTCTTTTCCCACCCCTCCTTTCCCTGGGACCCCATATATGTTTGATTAATGATCCTTTTATTTTTATAGTCATGGTCTTAAGAAGTTCTAGTGGCCCAGTGGTAAGAAGCTGTACTGCAGTCCCAAAGGCATGTGGTTTGAAGCCACCAGCTGCTCCGATGGTTAAACCTCCTTCCCTGAGATTTATTGCCTCTGAAAACCAATTATGGGGTCAGCTCTAGCGTGCTTCTGACTCCATGGTAAACAACTGCCTATGTGAAGGAATTGTAGACAACTATCCTGGCGAAACGTTCACCAAAATTCTAAATCTTTACTGCTTGCAAAGAAGTTCTCTCAATGTTAATTGGTTGAGGGCTGACATTGCTGACAAGAGCCATGTGAGGAATGTGTCTCACAGACGTGTGTACTCTTTCATGTTTTTGGATACGTGTGGTAGGTGAGGACACATGTACAGAGAGTTTGGAAACCTGTAGTAATCCTTCTTCCTTTAGTTATGTACGGAAATGTTTTCTTTTTGCCAACCCCCCTGGATAGTACCTCAGAAAAGACAGCAGATAGAAAATTCAGACTGCAGATGGGCCTCAATAAATGTCACTAGTAATTTGCATGAACAATAGTGTGAAACTTAGAATGTGGAGAAAAAAATTTTTTTTTTTTTTCTTACATCCATGGACACATCCAAGAACATATGTCACAGAGAAACCTAAAGATAGTAAGGAATGTGAGAAAATATTTCCACCATCAAGTCAGCTCCCCACACATAGAAGAATTCACACAGGAGAGGGAACTTATGAATGTAAGGAATGTGGGAAAACTTTTTCTCAGCTTTACTCTCTAATTGAAGATGCGAGAATTCACCCAGGAGAGACACCTTATGAATGTAAGGAATGTGGGAAAACATTGTTGCTTTCTTCTCGTAAGTGTTTGTGTTACAATTCACACAGGAGAAAGACCTTATGTATGCAGGAAATATGGGAAAACCTTTGCACAGTCAAGTCCTCTCACACAACATAGAAGAAGTCACATATAAAAGAGAGACCTTATCCATGTAAGGAATATGAGAAAACCTTTTTTAAAGCATCTTAGTCAACAAAGAAGAATTCATACAGGAGAGAAACCTTATCAATGTTAGGAAGGTGGGAAAATATTTTTTCTGCTTGCTTCTGTAACTGTACGTGCAAGAGTTCACACAGGAGCGAGACCTCATAATTTCAAGGTAGACAATAAAGTCTTTTTCATACTGGCACCCTCATTAACCACAGAATTCACACAGGAGAATGCGCAGTCTGTAAATATTTGTACTTGTTTTGTAGACAAAAGGTATGAATATAAGGAATGTAGTAATTTCTTCAGTTAATCCTGTTGTCTCAGCATCTTCGATCTCACACTGGAAATGACAAGGAGAATCTGCAAATATAGCGGGAGTTTTATTATAATTATTATTTGTGTGCACCATCAAATTGGATCTGACTGGTACCGGAGGAGATAGTCCCTCCTTCTCCAGCAGAGTATCTGGTGGATTTGAACAGCTCACCTCTGGGATTGCAATGCAGCTTCTTGCCACTAGGCCACCAGAGCTCCCGCAAATATAAAATTTTATTGTAAAAGTGATGTTTCCTTGTTAGTGGTTTTCTTCTAGAGGTCCAAGTGATAATTTCTCTTTAAAAGCCATTGATCTCACCAAAACTATCGCAGAACATATGGGTGTGAATATGACTTGTTTGTAAATTCTCAGGTTCCTAATTAATTTCCTTTTTTCATACAATTAAATGATTTCATATTTTGAAGACTTTAATCAATTTATTTGAATCCCAATTTTTTTCTTTAAAATTTCTTTTGTGGTTGTAAATGATCTCATTTTGGGTAAAGATTTGCTCATGAATGACATTTTACATTTTATTAGCCAGTATAAAATGGATTATTTTAAGTTTTTTGTGAGGTGATATTGTGAGGCTACCATCGTTCTGATTTCTGTTCTATTTTTATCTTGTAGCTGCAAACTACACGTATACAATGTGTCTAGCACTTGTGATAGTTCCAAAATTCCATGTTTTCCAAACACAGTATTAGCAAAATCAACTTTTTTAGCAGATGGCATAAAGGAATGTAGAATATTGACTGGCGGCGTGGTAGAATGATAATTCATAATCCTTACCCCCGGGTAGATATGATACGCCAACCACATAAAAAGGCAGACAGTGGCTTGTGAAAGCTAGTGGAAAAAGTAAGCCATGACCATGTGTACCCAGATTGTTAATTTCAATACACATAATGTCTAATAATATTCATGTCTAACAGACCTTTGCTTCCCCTTTTCAAGTACAGCAATTATCATAAGCACACAGTTTTCAAACAGGAAGAGGACATACACTATGGATTAAACAGGAAGGGTTGTTTAAGGGGATAACAATCAGTAATAAGAGTTTGCTTAAAAGTTGTAAAAGTTTCATTTCATTTGTCCAACCTCTAGGTGGTGTTGTTGTTACGTGCCATCAAATTGCCTGCAGCTCGTTGTGACCCTGTGTACAACAGCCCTAAACCCTGCTCTGTCTTGTGCTCATCTTATTTTCCTTGACACATCTACCCCCTTTATCCCAGTCACTGAGTCAATCCATCTCATCAAGGGTCTTTCTCTCTTGCTGTTCCTCCACCCTCTCGAGTATGACCTCTCTCTCCAAGGACTGATCTCTCCTTGCAACAGACTATGTTAGATGAAACTTCAGAATCCTTGCCTCCAATGAGCAGCCCGATCTAACACTCTCCAAGACGAAACTGTTTGTTCTTCTAGCCATTCATGGTATATTCAATACTCTTCTCCAGCACCACAACTCAAAGGCATCATTGCTTTTTCTGTCATCCCTAGTCATTGTCCAGCTCTCTGATGCATAGCAAGTAATTGCAAAGACCATGGCCTGTATTAGGCGCACTTAGTCTCTATACTGACATCGTTGCTCTTCAGTACTTTGGAGACAGCTGACTTTCCCAATGCAATTTGTCTTTTGATTTCCTGGCTGCTGGTACCAAGAGTATTGATTGTAGAGCCAAGCAAACTGACGCTTTTGACAATCTCAATGTCTTCACCATAATTTCTTCTTTTAATCCTCTCTTTTAATACATACCCTGCTTGTATAACAATAATTCGTCTCCAGCCTGGTCCTTGCTAGTGGGAGAGAAATGCCCGGTCCCTTTGCAAAGCTCCAGTCTTCCTGACAACAGTAATAGAAAAGAACTGGTATCCGTTTCGTTATTGAAATCTTTAGTTCAGGCCATATACCTATAAAATATCCACAGAAGGGCCACCTAGTTTTTCCATTCTTAGCTTTTTTTTTTTCTTTCCCCCCCTTTTTTTAAACGTTTAATTAATTTTACTGAACATTTACAGAGATTATGGATTTCCATTCATTCAATGTTGCACTGCATTCCTAGCTTTTTGTTGTTAAGACGAGTCATAGAGACCCTATGATCGAAAGACCTGAACACTTGTATAATTTTGGTCGTTTCTCCATGTTCACAGAGTTTCCGGAGACAAGCCATTTCGGAAGTGGATGCCACTCCTGCTTCCAAGCTTGTTTGAATCGGAATCTGCACCAAATACCGTCCACCATTGGGGATATAACATTTACAGGGTCTCTAACTCCAGGGTCAGAACGAATGCTCAGCAAGCTGACCTTGCTCTTTGTTTCCGCCCGGTGGTCTTTTTCTGAGTCACTTCCGGCTCACACACCGGAAGTAGACGTGCGCTGAGTGCCTGTTGCCCCTCCCTTTGCTGTCGACGTAGTTGGGAGGCGGGCTTGTCCTTGTGTCCGTCGTATTTGGCCTGGCCGCCCTCACGGGCGAGGTCCAGTTCCCTTTCCGAGTCCGAGGCGGCCTCTCCCGCGCTCGGGTCGTGTCCGGCGTGTCCAGGAGCCCCGGGTCTTCCTCTCCTCCGCCTGCCGCCGCTTCGCGCCCTTCCCGCCCCCGCGGCCTCAGCTGCCCAGTGTCCGGAGCGGCCCTGCTCGGGGCTTGCCCCGGCCAGGATGGAGGACCAGGGTGGTGGTCAGTCCCCGGGG